AGCCACGAGCCACAACTACTGAAGCCCGTGTGCCTAGAGCCCGTGCTCCGCAACAAGAGAAGCCACCGCAGTGAGAAGCCTCTGCACCACAACGAAGAGTAGCCCCTGCTCGCCGCAACTAGAGAAAGTCCGCATGCAGCAACGAAGACCCAACGCAGCCAAAAATAAATAAATAAATAAATTTATTTTAAAAAATTGCTATCATAGGACTAAAAAATACTCAGTGTTGATCAGCATGCAGGAAAATGGGGACTCTCATACACTTTTTTTTTTAAGTCCATCTGTTTTTTTAGATTGACTTAAATCTTTTTTTAGATTGCGCGGGGGCTTTCCCTAGTTGCAGCGAGCGGGGGCTACTCTTTGTTGCGGTGTGTGGGCTTCTCACTGCGGTGGCTTCTCTTGTTGCAGAGCGTGGGATCTAGGCACCCAGGCTTCAGTAGTTGTGGTGCGTGGGCTCAGTAGTTGTGGCTCAGGGGCTCTAGAGCGCAGGCTCAGTAGTTGTGGCGCACGGGCTTAGTTGCTCCACGGCATGTGGGATCTTCCCGGACCAGGGCTCGAAACCGTGTCCCCTGCAGTGGCAGGCAGATTCTTAACCACTGTGCCACCAGGGAAGCCCTCTCATACACTCTTTTTTTTTTTTTTTTTAACATCTTTATTGGGGTATAATTGCTTTACAATGGTGTGTTAGTTTCTGCTTTATAACAAAGTGAATCAGTTATACATATACATATGTTCCCATGTCTCTTCCTTCTTGCGTCTCCCTCCCTCCCACCCTCCCTATCCCACCCCTCCAGGCGGTCACAAAGCACCGAGCTGATCTCCCTGTGCTATGCGGCTGCTTCTCATACACTCTTGATGCGAGTATAAAAAACCAGTCACCTTTTGGAGGGTAATGTGGCACCATTTATTAAGAAAACTTGAAATTTGGCTTAATCTTTTAGGAAACAATTCAATTTCTATGAATTAGCTATGAATGTGTACCAAACTACAAGTCTATCCATTGAAACATTTAAAAACTAGTAGAAAGTTATGATCAATCTAAATATTCATCAAAAGGAGATTAATTAAATAACCGATGATATAAAGAATACAAGATTAAGCAGTTATTAAATCTTGTTGCAGAAGACTATGTAATGGCATGGGAAATATTTATGATGCATCAAATGAAAAACCTCAGGCTACTAAACAGTATGAATAGTATGATCTATATTGTGTGTGTGTGTGTGTGTGTGTGTGTGTGTGTGTGTGTGTGTGTGTGGAGAAAGAAAGGGCTGGGAGGATGTATTGCAACATAGTAACAGTATGCGGGGTTTATGGAGGATTTTAATTTTCTTCTTTATGATTTCTGTATTGTCTATATTGTTTACAATGAACATGTGTGATGTTTGCCATCTGGGGAAAAATAAATTTTTGTTTGAAAAGAAATGGTTTAAAGGAACAATAGATTAAAATTGGCTTGGTTGATCAGGGATGATTTAATGAAGGAAGTAGGATTAGAGATAGACCTTGAAGGATATGTGGGGCAGGTGTCAACAATGGGTGGGGTGAGGGGGCAGGTTGAACAAAATATGACTTTGTAAAGCACAGGATGTATTTGAGGCAAAGGAAGTTGATGGGGTTGGTTGGAGTTTAGCTACGTATAGAAGTTAGTGGAAGTTAAGGCTGGAAGGGTAGATAAGGGCCATATTGTGGAGGGCATTGAATGCCACACTTAGGTATTTGGATTCAATTTACTGGGCAACAGGGAGGCACTGCTATTTTCTGAGCAGATGAGGGCTATGATCAATTTTCTTTAGGAAGATTAATTTAATAGCAATGAGGGGCACTGATGGTTTCTAGGCAAATAAATGATATCATCAGAGCACCCTCTGTAGAAAGATAAATCCAGTAGTAGTGTGGAGAAGGATGGACTGGAGGCCTAAAGATGTGGCAAGAACACAAATTGGGATGGCACTGCAATGATCTAGGTGAAAAATGATGAGTGTCTCATTTAGGGCCGTGGCTGTGAGAATGCCAAGAAGGCAATTCCTTAAGGAGGAATTGCATAAATGTCATTTCAGGATTTGGCAACAAGCTCTGTGTATGAGTGGGTGGGTGTGTGCTTGCACGCTTGTGTATGTGTGTAGGTGTGCTG